TTATTATATGTGTATATTTTATATAATAATATTAATATTTAAATTATATATTAAGAAAATTTTTTTCTTTGTTAGATACACTGTCCCATATTGTCTGTAGATATTTGTAATGTTATTAATGCTTGCTATGATTTGTAATACCTGATGTTTTATCTTGTCCGCCCTTGATATGTGCATGTTTATGCATATGGTCCGTGTGGATGAGCATAGCACATTCATCGGTGACTTCCTGATCATCAATATCTCCCGCGCTACCCTCTCCATCGGTTAATAGATTCTCCTATAAGTATCAGCAAAAACCAACACTCAAAAAAAGAAAAAAAAAATATATATATATATATCCTTTTTTCCTATAATGGTATATTTTAATGTTAAACGTGTAATCAAAATTTTTGTTTGACTTTTCTGTAATTATAATGCCTAATGAAATCGAAAGAAAATGCTTTAAGCCTGATCTTGTGATGTATAGGAGAATATAGCGCGCTACAATTAAATATTTTAATTTTTAATATAAAAAAAATATATATAAAAATATTATATAAAAATACTATATAATCTATTTAATTATGTAATAATCAAATAGATTTCAGCTATTTCACATATAATTATTTATTAGCCACAATTATATCCTCCAAGCATGACCGCACCTGTACACCTGATTATGTGATAAATGTGATATATATATTACAATATAAGAATAAAAAATTGCTGTATTAGCATATATTACAGGTTGTTAAAAGCACACGTATGTGACACAATCTTTACAAGAAAGCATATAAAAATATCCTTTGATTTGATAGACTTTGGGAATAATGTAGAGAACATCTTAAAATACTAGATAAATATAATTTTTTATAAGCGCGTTTTCTCATATATTTAAAAGTTAAAACAAAAAATAACTCAGTATATGTAATTTTGAGCAAATACACATTGTTGAAATCATGAAATATATGGAAAAATTAGACAAAAGTTTTATCACTCTTGACGCTATGCATTTTTGTTTGAAAATGTGATATTTTTAAAAATATCTCCACTCGCAATTAGCAATTTTGCAGATTTCAAATGTCTTATAAAAATAAAAATTAAGAAACATTTAATGCCAAATTAAACGCAATACTTATCTGAGATCTGAATACTTTTCTATATATCTCATGGTTTTGACGAAATATTTAATTGAAATCACACATATTCTGAGTTATCTTTAAAGAGTTATTTCAACCTCTAAATATGTGAGATTATCTTTATATATATCTTTCATCTATAATATTCTTTATAGCATATCTAAAGCTCATCAAAATCAGAGGAAAACACTTCCATATGTTTCCTTAGTCACTATTTAATAACAATTTTGCACGCAAGAAGAATTTTAAAACGTTTAGTCCAATTTCTTTTTTGAAGAAAGAAAAAATATATTTTTTACTGCAGAGTTCTTACTCTTTTTCATATCGATTTCTTCCTCCATTTTTGTCTTATTTATTTGCTGAAAGAAAAAGTGACTAGCAAATTATATTTTTCTATTGATGACTCTTCAAGGTTTTAAATATCAAAAAACGGAATAAAAAGAGATATAAAAAATATATATATTATATATAAACTGTGTCCAATATCAAATTTGTCACTATCAATTTGAACATTTTAAATAAACCCATATTTGTTAACAACTTTTTATTAAACAACAAACTAAAATCTTTTGGAAATTAGTCAAAATCATAATCTTGACAATAAGGTCAAGGGCATTTGGGGGTTTTACACACCAAAATAAATAATTATCTAGTATTTTTTTCAGCATTTTCGAAAATTCAACCAAGCATCAAGCATCACTAATTGATGCTTAAATCATCAAGCACTGAATGCTTACTAATTCATCTGCGCAATTTATATCTTACCTCATCTGGATCCGATACAGCAAATGTAACATTTAATGGTTTAACATGCTTGGTTTTGTAATTATGCTCCAACAACAATGGTGTATAAAGTACATTCTTCCATTGTCTGCTTAATACAATGACACCCTAATGAAAATAGTAATAATATAAAATTTATATTGCGTGCAAAACAAATTATATTTTACAAAAAATTTATATATCAATAGTCTTTAACATTATTACCTGTCGAAGTGTTGAAAGAAGCGGTAGATCGGATTCTTTCAAGTTAGATTCAATACTTGCAATTTCGGATAATAAAACGTAATTCTGTAATATAGTACATAATTGACAAGAGGGATCTTCCTGCAATGTTTTGGCCAATGGTGTTAATCTTCCGTAACGACTCTGCGCAAAATGTTGGAAAATTAACAAAAATGTCACTGTGACAAGCAATTCCTCAATATACCATTGTATACCTTCATAGGCATATGTAGTCCTTGCACGTCCAACGCTTCCGCCATGAGGCAAGCAACAATCGCGGTGGATCTACGATACATCGTTCTAAACATATGAACGATCCGTATTGCAAATTTGTTACTGGGATTCATCCATGCATTTATCGCCGGCGATGCCGTGCTGAGCAAATTCCAATCCAATCTTGTATAATCGATTTTCCTCGTTATTGGAGTACGTGGAGGCGCGGCGAAGTTAAACCATACAGTTTTCAACTCGATAACACACGATACGGTATTGCCATTCGCTACTTTGGACGTGAGACTGTTGCATGTAGCGCTCATATTTATCTGAGTGCTGGCGGATACGCTTGCCGCCTTTGTTTCCGCCTCTGTGGTAGTTGCTGTAAACGTTGAAAAAGTAAAGGTAAAGTAAATAAAATAAACGAGTAATAATTTTGTATTAATATTATTGGAACCATAGCTCTTTTACCAGCAATATTATTATCCAATTCCTCTTGGCTCTTAATGCTATCCGTACACAATATTTCAGTTTCATTCTTTTTGTTATTGTCACCGTTTTCATTTTTTTCAAACTGAGATCTTTTCACTACTTTCAATTTAATTCCCTCTAAACCGCACTCGAACATGATAAATCCCAATCTATCCTCTCCGCATCCCATAGTAAATTCTTCGGTGGCTTGCGGTGGTCCAGTCTGTTTCGAAAATATGTATAATATATTATCTCTCATGTCTTTACATCTTATTGAAGTAATATTCAGGAAGAGCTCTGCATATACATTTAGCTTTTCTTTATCGTCGATCGCGTGATGTAAATAATAATCGACACACTTTAGCGGCGACGTCATTCTTGTGCACGTAAACAATACTTTCGAATAATGCGCAGGTATAGCAGTTATGACCGCGTCCTTCAATATTGAAGATTCATTTCTTAGCCTTCTTAATTGAGAATGCGCTTTGCCTATCGAAAAAGATAAAATTTTATATTACGTAATATATAAAACGCGCTCTCATATGATATATATTTATTTACTTATATATACCGATATTTAAAGTAACTATAATCTCTTCCTGTTGCTTCTCCGACGTTTCTATGTACACAGTTTCTCCTCCAACGTCAGCTACTACTGCCGTAGTTTGATGTCCGGGTAAAAATGCTTTGCTGATCTTGTTCACTTTCTTCTGATTCGGTAATGCGGCTGGTTTATGGAACATTTGAACGACTTCTCGGGCCTGTTTCCCCAGATAAAATCTAGCGGTAACGTCGTCGAGACAAATCGCAAATAGTGACACGCACGTCAGGTCGCGAATATTTTCTAACGCGGAGAACGATATAATCTCTTCGACAACGGATGCTTGTAACAATGTTAAGTTCAACTGAAAATAATGTTAAAATATAACTAAAGCACATATGTGTGAGAGGAATTCGTAGAAAATTTTTTATCACATTTTGCAAAATTATTATACCTTCGGTAAGATAATACTGCCTTGTACTTGCGTCGTAATACTTTCTTCGTAAACATTCGTTTGTAGGGCAATCTTACCTATTGATAAAAATCAAATACTTATAAATATACACACTAATCCTTGAATGATGTAGCAAAATGTCTCGTAAAAACTAACATTTGTCATCACCTTGACCATTTTTTCTTTCTGCTGTCGATCGTTTCGAACTGGTGTGGACTTGACTCCAATATGATAAACTCTGATCTTGTTTTAAAATATTTGCACCCTCCACTTTGCTTATGCATTCATTGTGAAGATGATTTAAAATCGTTAATGGATGTAGACTGGCCAAGGTTGGTATAATACTATCGATAAAACGCTGAAGCGACTCTAGAACCATGGGACTTAACATAATATCGACGTCTCCTTTAAATTTGACAATAACCGTTGTACGTAGTCCAGTTTCGTGCAGTATCGCCAATAATTCCTCCTCGTTATGCATCGCATTATCCTCTTCGCCTACATAAAAATTCTTAAATTTTCTCTCGACTATTCAAATACGTTATTTTCTCAATAATACCGTACCTTCTGTTCGATTTAATGATATATCGTCCCACAAGTAAGGATGTGTAGGCGTTTTGTTGGATGAACCTACAACAGGTGAGCCGTCAGAACGTGTTATCATTTTTAACGATGTAAAACCTTCGGTGACCGTTTCAAGTTTTGGCACGTATCGTCCGCCAATGTAAACCAATCTACCATCTTCCATGCGTTGGAATACAGGAGTAGTAAAAGCGTCGCCACCCACAGGTAATGAGGACTGATTCCAATTTGTACAACGAACCTAACAGATTTTGTTCCATATACTTAGATTTTATATAAATATTATTATTATATAGTATATTGGTATATATACAAGGTGGACCATTTTAATCAATCCACGTGAACATCTTGAGAACTGAGTCCAATAAATAAAAATGTTTCAGACAAAAGTTGCATGGTTTCGAGGGAGCCACATGATAAAAATATGAACTTGACCTTGAGTGACCTTTTCAGGGTGAGGTCAACGTAATCGATGTTTTCTTAAATAAAACCCCCCATTTTTTATTGCATATTCTTGTAGCTTATCTCGAGAGGATAAATTGAACAGGATAAAACAAGTTTACGTCAATAACAAAAGTACCTGTGTCAAGTGGCTGACGTAACTGGACATCAATAACGGCGAGTCCACGATTGGCTTATTCATTTGCATGTGCAAGTTTACAAGCGTGACATCTTCTTGCGAGGATACAGCAGAGATAAAACTAGTAGATGATACGGAGTGGCTGTCTGAAGAATCTTGCATACCGCGACCGTTTTCAGTTTGATCGATTTCATTTTGAAAACTAGCGTTTCTGTTAATCCTGGGGCTTCTTTTTGTATTTAATATCTGCGTTTTTGCTCTCTCCAACGTATGCGCCTTGTCTGCCACTGAGTGATTCATATTGGTCGAGCTCTCGACGATAGACAGGTCTGACGAGAATTTTTTCTTCATACTGTCATTGCGATTTAAGACACAACCAGAACCGACGATGGATTGGCGTAAGCTGGATGTTCGACTTCCGCTTAATCCGTGGCTCATATCTTCATCGGCCGAATAAAATGCTTCCGAGTGATTTTCCGACGACATAGATATCGTACGTTGTACCTTTTAAACATACACAAATACAGTAAATAATAAAGTACAGTATTTAATATTTATAATAAAATATATATTCATAATAAAGTATTTATAATAAAATACAGTATTTAAAAACTCGCGATATCTTTTACCTCCTGCTTCAGTC